AGTTGGAGTAGTTATCTTCCTACCCCTTTGTGCGCTCAAAGGAGGGTCCCAACGTTCACATGGCTGCCTGGCCCCCAGAGACTCCAACAAGCGCAATGAGAGCGAGAGAGGGGGCCTGAGCCCCCCCTTCCCCCCCTTCCCCCCCTTCCCTCCCTTCCCCTTTCCTTGAGAGACCGCTACGAGGCCTGCATCGCGCGCATCATCCACCCCTCCTTCTTCGAGACCGAATTTGCCGTAAGAGAAGGGAATTTAATAGGGGAGAAGGGAAGAAGGGAAGAAGGGAAGAAGGGAAGAAGGGAAGAAGGGAAGAAGGGAAGAAGGGAAGAAGGGAAGAAGGGAAGAAGGGAAGAAGGGAAGGGAAGCAGGGAAGAAGGGAAGAAGCCGGGAAGAAGGGAAGAAGGGAAGAAGGGAAGAAGGGAAGAAGGGAAGAAGGGAAGAAGGGAAGCAGGGAAGCAGGGAAGCAGGGAAGAAGGGAAGAAGGGAAGAAGGGAAGAAGGGAAGAAGGGAAGAAGGGAAGAAGGGAAGAAGGGAAGAAGGGAAGAAGGGAAGCAGGGAAGAAGGGAAGAAGGGAAGAAGGGAAGAAGGGAGAAGAAGGGAGGGAAGAAGGGAGGGAAGGGAGGGAGGGAAGGGAGGCAGGGAAGGAGGGAAGACGGGAAGGGGAGGGAGGGAGGGAGGCAGGGAGGGAGGGAGAGTGCAGAGACTCTGGGTTTAGGGTTGATGGGCTGAGGGTTTAGGGGCCTCAGAGGCTTAGGGAGTGTGGGGCTGTGGAGGGCTTAGGGCTTATGCTTTACAGTTTCGCAGTTTTACGGCCAAGTGCGGAGGGGATTCTGCGACATACAACCCTGAGGAATGGACGTGGCTGACAACCAGACCGTGTGGCTGTGAGTGGCGCTGTGCTTAGGTTTCAGTGTCAGAACCCTGAACCCTATGCCAAACACACCTAAACCCTGAACCCCTCAAGCCCCCTACAACCCTCAACCCCAAAGCCTTTGGGGATCTGAACTCGGAGTCGCCATCCGCCTGCGGCCGAGACATGAACGCCGAGAGCAGACATGGCTCGTTGTGGCTCCTCAAGCACCGAATGCTAAGCACTCGAACCCTTGGGTTTTGGGTTTTTGGGTCTAGGGGCCACTCGAATCAGTATTTGAGGTAGCGGATATTGTAGTCACATAGGGGTTGTGGTGTTCCGGTATATGGCAAAGCCATGCGACGATTTGAGAATTCAGGGCTTCGGGGCTTCTACCTTCAAATCATAGCATCGCGCGAGGAGAGACTGTAGCAATGTCCCCCAGCTCCTCCTCTGCTCACGTTCAGACTCCGTTGCGACCGAGTCATCCTAACGTCTCCAAGAGACATTCGCGGTGTCTGGCACGAAAGGTGAAGTCTGAAGAGTTGCTGGGTTTCTATAGGCTGTCCTTGAAGACAGTTTGAAGCCTTAGTTGATTCCGGGCTCCGAGAATCTGAGGAACTTCCGCGGTCCCTTAGCAGGGTTCTTATCTTCTTTGCAGAGTTCTGGCGTATGAGCCCTTGGGTTTGCTAGGGTATATGAAAGGTACATAAGGGTTCCCCCAATGAAGGGCCCATGCGAAGGGACCATGTGCTTACCCTACGAGAGAAGAGTTGGTGTTTGGGGCTTAAATGGGTTTAGGCTTCAGGAAAAGAAAACTTCCGAAGCCCCGTTTAGGGTCTGAAGGCTTTGGGACGTGTAGGGTTTCAGGTCTGAGTCCGTCAAAGGGGGCTTGTGCTGAGTGGGTTGGGCTTGCAGATTTTCGGGATGCTGCTGCTTTCCCAACAGCCGAGCGAACCGTCCCTAAACCCTAAACTTGGGATGCTTCCCCTTATACTAACAGTCCTTCATAAGGATTAGAATGGGGAGTACTATAGTCCCTTTTCAGGACTGTTAGTAAAGGGGGAGCATCCCAACCCTAACCCGTAAGCCTTGCGCCGATTTTCAGGCTGGGGCCAGGATTGCTCGTCAGGCTCCTTTTGTGCCGTTGGGCACCACTCGGCAGTCTGCCCTTCGTTGCCCGTAACGTCAGAAAGCTTGGGGCCAATAAGTCTTATTTATGCGTGGACAGACGAAAAAAGTTTTTTCTGTTTGCCCTAGATAAACCCCCACTTTCCCACCCTGGGCCAGAATTCCGACACCCCAAGCTTTAAGCCTTAAGCTTTTCCGAGAAGTATGATCAAAGGTCTGTTATCGAAAACCTAAACCCTAAGCCCTAAACCCTAAACCCTGAAACCTCATCAACTTGGTTGGTGGCCCGTGAGGCTCCCAGCGATGTGGAATTGCCATTCTCGCTGGGCGCCTGTATTGTCTATAGTATCTTGTTTTTCTGTGTAAGGCGCCATTAGAAAATGTCATACTGTGTTTTTCTAGTTCTACTGAAGGGAGGATGGTCGTTCTGGGCGACATACGTTGAACGTTTTCGCGCTAGCGCTTCGCAACCTTCGCTTTGGGCTGCTTGCAAACGCACAGCCCCCTTGGCAGATTCTCAAGGCCGCATCTTTGTGGTTTAGGGTTCACCCCAAACCCTAACCACTTTAGCACCAAAACCCTAAACCCTGGGTGCTTGACGTCAAGACCATCCCGAGTCCATGTAGTACAGAAGCAGAATAGGGTTGGGGTTTTGGGCTTACTTGCCATTAGCATATCTGCACAACGCCTGTGATTTTCTTCACTGTCCTACCCTCCAAATCTGCCTAGAGATGAAGAACCGACTCACGGTTTCTACAGGGCTTATGAAGGGTTTCTACAAGGTGTATACAGGGTTTGTACAGGGCTTAGATGGGGCTGGTATAGGGTTTTATATAGGGTTTAGGGTTGTGGGATTCGGGGTTGTGAAGCAAACTCTCTCGAGTCTCATCGTCCATTCCGCAGTGAGCGGTGCCTCGGGTTATGAGAGTCTGCCTTGTCTTCCAGCAGAAGATGTTGCGCCTCGCAGCCTTCTAGAGTCGAGTCGGAGTGTCACGCTGGCCTGCGCGTGATCACGCTGCCCGAAACTATGAACCGCATAAGCCCTGAAGGATGTAACAACAAAAAGGAAGAAGGGGCCGAAGCTTCCCCTGTGAACTAGTGATCCAGGCACAGTGTTCGGCTTGTGTTCGGTTTCTACCCACATGAAGGCAGAATCGGATGCTAGATGCCGAAACCCTAAACCCTGCACATTGACCCCCTTAAACCCCAAACCTCAACACCCTCAACCCTAACCGCCCTAATCGCGGCTTCAGATGTCGAAGCTAACGAAAAACTACCCACAAAATCAGGGCTACTTGACGCCGCTCCTCTCCCTGCCCGTTTGGAACCCAAAACGCCGAACCCCCAAAATGGGAGCTTCGGACCCCAAACCCAACGCACCTAAAGGAAGGAACCGTAGGTCCTAAGCCCCAACTAAAGGATTTCCCTGAACCCTAAGTTAAGGGTCCCCAAAACCTCGGGCAGCTTGGCCCGATTGGGGCCTTTGCCAGCCGCCTCTGACGGACGAAGTCGCCGGGGTTTCCTGCAGCCAGCCGACCAGTTGCGGACCAAGCACTTAATAGGGCATTACGGTCTATCTATGTGTGTGTATATATATATATATATACAGATGGCTTATTCAGGGTGTGTGTAGGGTTTTTACGGGCTTATCTAGGGTTTGTATAGGGTTTATGCAGGGTGTGCCATCGTCGAATTCCCCCACCTGAATACTCATGCTACGACCCCAATAAGGTTCCAGGTACCTAAATGCGACATATTTGGATTTAAAAGCACTTCCTGTGTAATGACTTTCAGAGGGCCAAGTATGCACTGTTTCTTCACGTGGACTCGTAGGGTATTTTGCTGCCACATTGTTGTGGGGGTGGGGGGGGAAGTCTATTTTCTGTTAAACGGAGGGATAACGGCTCGTAGGAGGTACAGGCTGTAGGGTAAGGAGGTGTAGGGGAGTCCTAAAAGCTCTGAACCCTGGACTTTACCAAGCCCCAAAAAGGTCCTCGACCCCTAACCCCTATACACGCCCAAATCCCCAAAGCCAAACCCGAGGCTGCAAGCTTCCAGATCCCCCAAAAGACCTAAGACTGTCGGAAACAGGAGTCGATCCCCTAGACTAAAGGGACTCAGGGTTTAGGGTTTGAGGGCTTGGGAGTGTGGGGACATTTCTGCCATAGTATGGCATTCCTACCTGAAGCCTGCCTCACTAGGGGGTAGAGGGAACATATGTCCCTGGAGTCCTGAAGCCCGCAACCTTCCGGTCGACAGTCCGCCAACCGGTCAAAATGGTGCATGGGTAGAACCAGAGCGCCCCACGGATGAACCGAAGTGTTCGCGTGCAAAGAGCGGATGGACGAACACAGGCGGCGGGGTGTGGGGTTACGGGTTTAGGAGCCAGGGCTTCGGTGTTTACACCTGATGAACACCCGGTTGCAGCGGCAGGTTGCATCCTGCAGTACGACAGCACCGGTGAACATTACGCGCGGTCACTTCGCAAAATGATCATCCCTCTTTAGCGCCCTATTCTAGCAAGTGCCCGAAATGCCCCAGTGTGGAGGACTGCGCATGTATTGTCCCTAAAACCTAAACCCTAAACCCATTTGTCTATGACTCCGGAGCCGAGGCCCAAAAAATCAGACCGACTCCACGACACTTCTTGAAGCTTGGGGCCTTAGCGGGCCTTTCAGGCTCCCCGCACCATAAAGGCATCCGCCCGAAATGCTGTTTTCGGATTGAGGGTTTCGGGTTGCAAGGCGTTAAGGGCTGCCAGGCTGGTTTGGTACCCCCCCTCTCAATACTTCTCCATCGATTGCCTGCCGCAATGGGAAACTACCTCTGCTCGCCTTCAGCGCAGCAGGAGCGCCCTACGCTGCAGCGCTCATCCTCCTCAGTGCACCGTCAGAGCTTCCCCATGTACGTGGTTAAGGCTTCTGGGTTTTCAAATCGCCATAGGGCTTTAACAAAATTCAGGTTCAGGAGCATTTTTGAGAGGGCAGCCCCCTAAACCCGAGGCCCCGTTTTGAACTTCCCAATGAAGGTCACAGATGTGTTGAAGATGCACGGGACGCCGGAGCCGCACGCCGCGTTGATGAGGCTCGGGCTCCTCCACGAACGGCAGCCTGGCATGAACGTCGTCTTCGTCTCTCACCAGCGGCTTGGCGGTTAGGGTTTCAAGGGGTCTGGGGGTTTATGGGTTTATTGTTTTTTTTTTTTTTTTTTCCACTTTGGGGGGGCTATTTAAGAGGATCTTAGTCTGGGGTGGCTTTTTTTCAGAGGGCTTTCCCCTAAATCCCTATAACACCCAAAAGCCCCAAAACCGTGAAAGGCCCCCCGCCCAGAACCCTCGTGCCAAGCCCAGGTGGCTTTCAATGCACCACCCGGATCCTGACGGACATCAGTTTGCGGCCCCTGGGTTGCTGCAAAGCGGGTAAGCACGGTAAGAACAGATGTTAAAGGGTAGCGAAGTCTTGGGTTCAGGGTCCTTGGGGGTGTATCGAGATGATGGTCACATCGTGTAAGTTGCCTAAGAGCAGCCCAGGTCCTGCGCGATGCGCTCGCAGCCCTGATCGACGGATCGCTGCACGTGGAAGCGCATGTGGTTGATATCATCTACAACACGGCGCCGACAATGACCGCCCAGTTTCGCCGGGATCTGCTGGACTCCTACGTCTGGTTGGATTGGTTCTCGGTTCCCCAACTTGCTCTGAAGGACATTCTTAGAAATGATGCGGAGATCAGAACGCATCAGACACTCCAGGCGAACGCCATTCAGTCCATCCCTTCCTACGTGGAGAATTGTGAGACTTTGCTGATACTCGCCCCTGACTTGCAACACGTGGACAGCGGCATGTACTGCAACTACACATCTTGGCTATCTCGGGGACGCTCTGCTCCAGAGTTGTTTCCGTTTGCTAGTTTTGTGCTTGAGTCCTTATTCGGGAGGGTTTATCGCTCAGGATCATCTTATTATTGGTATTAGTAAGATTAAATTCTAAATAATATTAGTAGAGTTTGCCTAAGCCCTTGAAGGTCCTTGACCAAGAGGCGCGTTGAGTCCAAACCGTTGTGTAGGGTTTGAGGCTTAGGGCCAACATTGCGAGAAAAGTCAGGGTTCTGAGAAGCACATGGAGGAAAAGAACATCTGCAGGGACTTAACCGCCCCCAAACATCCCTAAGCCTGGAACCCTAAGAAGCCTAAACCCCTAAAAGCCCGAAGCCCTGAAAGCCCTAAACCCTACAAAACCCGTACAAAATCAACAATTTGATGATGATGATGATGATCATCATCATCATCATGATCAATCATGATGAGGATGATGATGAAGCCATATACAAGAAGCCGAGGATGGTGCCGGGCAGAGCTCTGGTTCTACTTGCTCTCCGGCGTTGGGGAGCGAATTCCCATTGTGGCCTTCTCCCCCACGAGCCGTGGAGACGAAACGAGCAGCGCTTTTCTTTGGGTCCGGCATGCTATGACCGCAAGCACGCACAGTCACGCACGTCGCTAGCATAAGAAGGAGTAGATTTGTGCAAAAGCTTCAACTTCAACCCCTGAACCTTGCCTTTGAGATTTCTCCCAGCACTACAGGAATGAAGGCATTCTTAAAGCCTCATTTTCTGCTTAGGTTCGCATAAGTTGTCAGCATGAAATTAGCTCGGCGTAGGCTACTTATTCCGCAAGGTGAGCAGGCCGTGGCGTCGGCCCGCGTAGGCATCCAATCCATGTCAACAGTCGAAGCATTTAGCAAACAAACGGCTCAACTGGGTCTAGGGTTGAGGATTAAGGGTTGCTTCAGGGGCTCACCGCAAAACCCCTCGTACAACAACATCAACACATGAACAACAACATTGCGCATCTTTAGCGCCAGTCTAGGGTCTATGATCTACCTCGTAGCTGTCCAAATTGGGATCACGTCACGCGATTCCACTCCATATTGGTGTAGGGTTCAGCCCCCAAGGAATGCGCACTACATGTCCAAGTTCGCATGGCATGTGAATACCATTGCAACGGGGAACTTCAGTGTGGAGGCGGACCGGACGATCATTTCCTATCTGGGAGAACTTGCCGCTGAGAGCAAGCTGCAGCAGTTGAAAGAGATAGGCCCCACGAACCACTATCGATTCTATCTGTCGAACCGACGGTACTTCATGGGCCAGACAAGCGATGCCTGGGATATGCCAAGCTTCCTCGAGGAGTTCGGCTTCGATTCTTTGGAAGCGGCCACAAGCGACCGCAGCGGCATGAATCCTGTGATGTGCGCTGTTTTATGTGAAGACATGGTGCTGATTCGACAGTTGGCGGAGGCAAGAGCAGACGTGAATATCCCTGCGGAGGGTTGCGGCGCTGTGAGCCTGTACGATGGCATGACGCCACTGATAGTGGCCGCCCGGACAGGCCAGTCTCCTCAAATGCTGTCACTGCTTGTGGATCTGAAGCTGGGTTGCTGTTCAGGAACATCGACTAAGTTCCCATATCAAGGACACCATAACCCGAAACCCTCAACCCTAAACCCTAACTTACTATAGTGACCTTAGTAATTAGTCTCCCTAACAGCAACCCAGGAAGGCGGACGTCCAAGCCAGGACCCTTTCGGGCGTTGATGCTTTGCTCCTTTGCCGAAATGTCGCCCAGATCCAAGTGCTTCTGGAGGCACCTTGGTGCATATAAAAAAGGGATTAGAATAGGGTTTTGGGGGCTCTTATGGTATATTGATAAAGGGACCATAGGGGAATAGTATTAGCAATCCGACCCCTGTATTCCTGAAGCTCTAACCATCCCGAAGCTTTAAGGGCTCTGATCGTAAGGCTTTGCGGTTCGGCGGCTGTGCTCGGTGATTTGCTGAGGGTTGCTTTGGGCTTGAGGGCTTGGGATCGTGGTGCTACTCCAATCCCCCAAACCCCACTAAGCCCTAAACCCGAAACTCCCTACTAAGGAAGCCCATTTAGGGTGTGTTTGACCTTATACCTGGTCAATGTATTGTATGCCCACCCGCGCTGGCGAGTACAGCCACTCATCAGGCTGCCCCTACCAATGCGACGCGCTGGCCTTAAGGGCTACCAGCTTCTCACACTCCCCCGCTCCACAGCTTATGCGAAGGAGTGCTCCCTGCTGTAACTTCCCCAAGGCCCCAGCAACCACCAGCAATGGCTGCATTAGGCGCTCATTGCCCCCAACCATTGGCAATGCCATGCTGTGATGCCACCCATGACCCCGACCGCCCTGGCAAAGCCACCCGCTGTGCCCGCCAGACTCTCAGCAGCCGACATGAAGTAACCCCCCACAGCTTTAGGCCACAACCACCAAGCCCCCTACCAAGCGGTGTTTTGCGTAGCAGCCCGATACTTGGGCGCTCATAACCTGTGTTTGACCTTATACCTGGTCAATGTATTGTATGCCCACCCGCACTGGCGAGTACAGCCACTCATCAGGCTGCCCCTACCAATGCGACGTGCTGGCCTTAAGGCCTGCCAGCTTCTCACATAGGGTTTTGGTTTTTAGGGTTTAGGGTGTAGGGTTTAGGGTAGAACCTAAACCCCAAACACCCCTTTGCTCACCCGAGGCAAGGGCAGATGTCCATGGATTCGGGATGCCGCAAGGCATGACTGCTCTGGCAGGTCAGGCAGCCTCCAGGAATCCCAGAGGTACTGTTTTTTCTTGCCCTTTTCTTACGGGTTCTTTGGAATTCCTGATAAACGGGGAGAGATATATCTGCATATATATGTATATAATCTGTATATATATAGATTTACCTATATATGTGTATATATATATATGTATATATATCTATGCATATCTATATTTATCTATCTACATACATGATCCTAGTTCAGCTCCCCCCCCCCCCCCGCCCCCGCCCCCACGGGGGGACTTTAAACCCGAGAGAAAAGAAGAGAGAGAGAGAGAGAGAGAGGGGCCTCTGTTTCGATTCCTAGATGTTGTTCATAGGTGGCTGGGCCTTTCAACCCTCAACCCCAAACCCCCATCTCAGCCAACAAAACAAGGAGATTCCTGTTGCTTCCTAGGCTGCCGGGGACCACTCAGGGAGCCCCAGGCCCTAAAAGCCCTCAACCCTGGACCCTGTAAACCATAATTCCTAAACTTCTCAAGAAGCCTAAACCCTACACCATACACCCTACACCCTACACCCTAATCCCTAAACCCTAAACCTAGGCTTATGGCACGGCCGAGACAGTGGCGGCCTTACTCGAAGCACGCAGTGACCCAAACCCTCCTCCCAGCGGCTTCGGCGTGAGCCCGCTGCATCGCTGCTGCAGAAGAAGAGCTGCGTTTAGGGTTTAGGGTTTAGGGTTCAGGGTTTAGGGTTTAGGGTTTAGGGTTTAAGGTTTAGGGTTAGGGGTGGTGCTGAGTAGGTTGCGCTTGAAGCTTTTTGCGTACTCTACATCCCTTCAGCCCAGAGGTTCGCCTGTTTGCCCATAGAGAGTTTCTCAGCCATGTGGTATTTATGGTGAAGGGTTTGCTTGGGAGGAATTTGAAATATTATAGGTTCTTACATGTAGATACACATATGTGTATATGCATATATATATATATATATATAGATACATCTGTATATGTATATGTATCTGTATATGTATATGTATATATATATATATATATATACATACATATGATTAGTTTATGCACAATGCTTCCCCAAGACCACCTCCCATAGAGGCATGGCCACCAAGAACCGACAAAAAGAAGAAACACGAAACACACAATCCCAACACTCAATAAGCAATAGCTCTAGTACTGGAATCACAAACAACAACAAACCTTGGCAACAGCACTGAAACCCGTCAACAAACATATGCAACACAAGAAACACAACAAACAAGAACACACCCGCAAACGTCTGTGCACAGTCTTCTAGGTCTAATCGTTGCTAGGTACATGTTTGCCTTTTCCCATCATTGGACTGAGGAAGATGGCATGCGGTATTTATTGCCCTAAACCTTAAATCCAGCAATCATTAACGGCCAACCGAGGCATGCTGCCGCTTTGTTCACGGGCATTGCTGAGACCTTTGGTGTGTGTTTGGGACATGGGTCACTTCCTTCATTTCCTTGTAAGTGAACCTATTCATCAAGAGCTGTCTGGAAGGTTTCGGTTTTGAAGCGCAACTCAGGACAGTTCCCAAGGCCAAGCTATTGTTGGCCTGCCAGGCCAACGTGAATGCTCAAATTTGCATGTCTGGCAGATTGTCTTGGACATCCCAGCTTGCTCAAACACAATGCAGCATGCTCGGCTTCGCGACAGCACCTTCTCAGACGCGCTGGTGGGCAAGCTTGCCAGGAAGCACCCCGCTGGCCTTGGCCACCATGGTAGGTGATCAGGCCTTGATGGCCTTCTTGCTGGATCACGGGGCCATGGAGCTTGCCAACGACCGAGGGCACTTTCCCGAGGATCTAGCTGTGTCAGGTCAACACAAAGAGCTGCTTGCCGATTTACGCCTGGTCAGTGTTTAATCTGCGCTCCTGCATTTTGATGCAGGAGCAGCTCTATTCCCTGGGAGGGGAAGCTGAGCACTCAACCATTTTTGTTTTAGCAGCAGCTGTTGACAACTTTGAGCAACAGCGGCTTGCTTGAGAGTTTTGAGCCGCGGCTGAGGCACGGCCTCTGATGTGGCTTTGGCGCCCAGTCATTAGTATCCGTACTTCCGTCTGCCGTTAGGGACTTGTTCCGGTCAACCCTCCCGAAGCAGCAAAAAGAAGGATGCCTGTTGTCATTCCTACGTGTCTGGGCATGCATGCTACAGTGGTAGTATCGAATCTGCCTGTGCAGAGCTTGCAGGAGGCGCTGTCTTCCTTTTACTGGCAGCCCGACATCTTGCCTGAGGCAAGTCGGCTTGTTCAGAGCTAGCGCTTTGACCCTGCGATAAAAAGCTGCGCTTCTTAACCCCAAAGAGATGCTGCAGTCTAGTACCGGCTCTCCGAAATCTTGAGTTAACGCCGTTGAAAGCTAAGTGTTTGCGTCGTTGCGCAGCGGCTACAGAATTACCAGCCTCATCGCCGTTTGAACCCTGAAAACATGACATCTGAACCACGCAAAGTACCCATTCTAGTGATTCTATGCCCCTAACCCTAAGCCCCTAAGCTCCAATCCTAAAACCGAATCATAGGTGTTCGGATTTGGAGGTTTCGAAGTTCGTTGCAGGTGCGTGCCATGCTTTACGGTTGAGGGTACAGGGTCGTTTTTCCCGTTCGGATCCCTCAGAAACCACCCTATGCGCTGAACCCTAGATCTAAAGCGAGGGTTTAGGGTTTAGGGTTTAGGGTTTAGGGCTTAGGGTTTAGGGTTTGGCCTTTGGCCGGCCACCCTGACGCCAAGAGGGCATCATAAGCGGACCCCCGCCCCGAAACGCTAGGCATTGGCCGGTTTTTTGGAAGCGAGGCAGGGGTAGGCTTGCAGGCCATGGTTTAGTAGGCTTGGTCTTCAAGTCAAGGATTTGGGGTTCGGGCTTTAGGGGGTTTTGGGGTTAGGGGTTTTGAGGTTTGGGGTTTTGATGTCTGGGGTTTGGGGTTTAGGGCATTCTTTCATCGTCCCGTCCATGGGCTTCGAATCAAGGAAGGAGGATGGTAGTTGGAGTGCTTGGACACATGAGGTCCCTGCTTGATTCCCGAAGTATCCTCTCCCCTATCTGAACGCAGCACCTCCCAAACTCTCACACGAAAGCTCTGCGAAACATGTCCCAGTGTCATTCCACTGTTCAGCACCAATGCAAGGCATCAGCCCCTGTCAAACAGGTGTTTTGCCTTGGGGACTCAGATGTAGAGTGTTTTTGGACCACAAGCCGCAAGCCCTTAATGTCTTCATGTAGTCCCCTAGGTGTTAAAGCACTACGTCTCTTCGGAGCGTCTCTTGGAGCATGATTCCGGCCTGGAGTGAGGGTGGCCACAGCGGCCAGGGCGGTCAGGGGGGCAGCAGCAAGCGAGGCTTCTGCTGTTCAGGGATGGGAGCTCCCCCCGCCCCCCGAGGGTTTATAGGGCTCATAGGGTTTACAGGGTTTATAGGGTTTATGGGGTTTATAGGGTTTCGGGCCAGGTGGTCCGAACAGCAACCTATCTTTCAAAATCGAAGGCAAGCGTGAGACAGCATTAGCCCCTCTCACGCCCCAAGCCCTAAATTTAAGCCCCGAGAGTCCCGAGAATCGTCGTAGCCCCGGATACCGCCAACAAACCTGAACCTGTTGTCTAGAAAATGCAATGTGGGTTTGGATCTGCAGTGTTTTGAAGATGAGGCCAGCGATATTCTATGAGGGTAATTACAGACTTCGCCAGGGTAAGTTGAGGCTAGAAAACGACCCCGTAAACCGGGGTCGCCCATGCAGCAGTTTCTCGAAGGCCTGGCCCCCCCTAGATTTGTTCGCACTGACTCTTATGCCCCAATTTTCAGAGCTAGACAAGAATCAAACGCCCTTTGGAATTTCGGCCCAATTCATGCCCCAACAAGAGCTTTGAAGTTCGAACTGAAAGTGGCCGGATCTGGCAACAAGTCCCTCATGCAAGCTTAGACTGTGTTTGTTCCTTCCGTTTGGGCTGGCTAGGTCTTTGGGCGGTCTTTTGGTGGCAGTTCTTAGACTACTTCATTCAGCTCCCAACAGCTAAACCCTAAACCCTAAACCCTAAACCCTGAACCCTGAACCCTGAACCCTGAACCCTGAACCCTGAACCCTGAACCCTGAACCCTAAACCCTAAACCCTAAACCCTAAACCCTAACCTAAACCTTAAGCAGCCTCCAGGTGGCCGCTACACGCACCCTGGCGAGGAATCGCCGCGCGCCGAGCCGTGCGTTGTTTTGCCTTGTGCAAGGTACTGCGGGTTGCTTCCTCCAGTACGGTTTTTCGGGGTTAGGGTTTAGGGTTTGGGGTTTAGGGTTTAAGGTCTATAGGGTGTAGGGTTGTGTAGACTCTTGCTCGTGTTGAATTAAGATTTATATACCCTCAGTCCAGACTCCCGAGCTCCGCCACAAGCCTCAGAACAATTAAACCTGATAGGAGTGAAGACAGGACACGAAGACTCGCAACGAACACACAGCACAAAGATATGTCACAAAAGCTCGGTGCGAAGGCGCGACGCGACCTGAAGATGCGACATATGCGACAGCAAGACTCGTTATACAAACACGACATCACGAAAACACGACATGAAGACATGACGCGAAAGACGGCACAAAGGCACGACAAAAGACAGACGCGAACACGGTCCGAGGCGACTGCAGTTACGAGGATCGCGACCAGCATAGTTGCGACTGCTAGCACTTTTCAAGATTCAGGATGCCGAGGCAATGCCAAGTGGCTGTACAGCTCCTGCGTGCTCCGACTCGTGAACGCTGGCGAACACTTTCGGCCTCGATTATGGAACCCTTCTGCTACTCGGCAACTACTCCTAAGACCCCAAGTGATCCTAAACCCCGTGGTTCTTAGTAGGTAATGAGGGAATGAGGTATAGGGGCCTCATTCCCTCATTCCCTAGTAAAAACCAGCCAGTAAAACGATCCCCAGAGGTGGTCGCTGGTCTGGTTGGACAATGAGACGTTCAAGCTCGAGTCGGGGCCTCATCGTCAAAGCCTCCCTACTTGGAGGTGCAGAGTACTTCGTAAATTACTGATAAGTGTAGTTAGAAGCCACTTATGAGCCCCTTAAGTAGCCTGATGGGGTTAATTATAGTTGGCCTTTAAGTAAACAGTTGTACTTGGGTTACTAGGTACCATTCCGAGCAAACCCTCAGCCCTAGGCCCTAAATTCTCCACCGTAAACCCGAAACGTACCTTCCGGCATATTCTCATCAAGGCAAGCTATGCTTAGTGTGCTATCAATGCTTTTCCGTGGGTTTTCCTAAGCTCCAATACCTTAACCTAAACTCAAAACCCGAAACGGCCCGAAGCCCTAAAACACAGACCCTCCCTAAAACCTTAAACTGTCCTTCCTATGATCCTTAAAAAGCCTGCACCCTCAACGCATTGCCTTACACAAACCCTAGCCGAAATCCACCTTGGACTTTGAAAGGCCCCAAAGCTCCCAAAACCCCAAGATGACCAGGCTCGAAGAGCAAAATCTCAACGACGATGGCATGCAGGAGCCGCTGAGGGGTTTCCGAGGCTTCGCGGCCCGTTTTGGGGGGTCCTCTTTGAAAACTCCAAGATGTGCCCTGAGGCTCAAAATGTCCCAGAGCCCTTAAGCCCTTTCAAACCCTTAAACACTAAACCCTCAAGGGAAAGGACCCTGAACCCCAAACCTTAACCCCTCAAAGGCAAGGACCCGGAACCCTAAACCCGCCCTTTCACGGGGCCTCCCTTCAGCCGGGGTTCGAGTTTAGAATTCCGGGCTTCGGCTCCGAAACCCGAAGCCCTGAACGCCAGAGCCTTAGGTGTTTCACTTAGCGTTTAGCGTTTAGGGCTCAAACAGTTTACGGTTTGGGGTTTCGCGTTTAGGGTTTTGGCTTTTTCGGGTTTAGGGTATATGTATACAGATATATATATATATGTATTTATATAAGGTTAGGATTCCGAAGAGCCCTGTGAGGAGTGGTGCCAATGGATGGATCGGCAGTTGCAGATGGTCTTTCCGGCCATGGGGGGGGGGGGGGGGGGGAGGGAAGGGAAGGTCAGGCGTGACCAGGCTAGGGGTTGAAGGGGCTTACAGGTTCAGGGTGTATAGGGCTTAGGGGTGTAGGGTTTATAGGTTTGGGGTTGAGGGCAGGAAGTTTTGCCAAGGCCCTAAGGCTGTCCCCTAAACCTTCAAATCCCTGGTCTCAACCAAAACCCTAAACCGCAAACCCTAATCCCGAAACCAAGAAGCCCCAGAGCCGGAGCCCCTTCCACTCCCGACATAGAAACCAGGAGTGTCGACCCTAAGCCCTAAACCTAAGGCCTTAGGCCTTAGGCGCCTAAGGCGCCTAAGGCTAAGGCGCCTCAGGCCTAAAAGGCCTAAAGCCTACGGCCTAAAGCCAAAGTAGAGTCCGGGTAACCTCTTCCATCGCCCTAGCGGAGAACTTTTTAACCAAGTCCTAGCTCCCCATGAAGCTTCAAGTACGAGGTTGCTTGCCTATGGTTTTGGGCCCGTTCTGAGTTAAGGTCCGCCGTTAGGTCTCACGGTTCGATTGCAAGCCAATTTTCCTGCAGATCAGTAGCGCATCCTGCTGCAGTAGTAGGCATAGCCCCCATAGCACTGCAGGTGCCAAGGAGAGGTTTACTCCTCCGCATCGCTCCAGGATGGGCCACGCAGGAATCTGGTGGCTGCAAAGTGTGGGCCCGAGGCTTCCCCGGATGAGCAGCTACCCCTGAGCAGTTTGGGTGAGGGTTTTCCGCTCACCCCAAGCAAAGTTAACAAACAAAAGAACAGAAGCTGCAAAGAAGTTCACATTGTTAGTAACTTCTCTACATCCTGGTCCCTGAGATAATGCAGCCACCCAAAAAGGGACCGTAATTCTCAGTACTGAAGCCCTAATCGGGTGTGCCCTTGAAGCGCAAGAATCTGCAGAAGCCAAGGAGAAGCCAGCTCGGGTGTAGGGCTTTTGAGGAGGGAGTTCGCTTGTAAAGGGACGATGGAAGGTTTGCGTGTTCGGGCTTTGCGGCTTAAATGCGGTTTAGGACAAGCCTTGAGGGCTAAGCACCGAGGTTGTTGCCCTGCTGGGTTTGTCAGGGCTTCCATCCCAACGCGCCGAGGATGAACTTCGCCAGGAACGAGATCGGCGACGAGACTCGACTGAAACCCGCGTCCCTACCTGGAAGGTGCCCTATAAATCAGTCGGTCATAGTCATAGCCCCAAGTTACACGGTGTTCAAGGCTTAGGAATAGGGTCTCAATGTTTAGGGTGCCTAAGCTCAAGCCCATCCTTTCTTGTGTGTGTAAGGGGTTTCAGGGTTCAGAGCCGCAGAAGTAGCAGGTAATTCCCGTCAACCCAAAACCCTTAATTTGGGTCACAAGCATCCCCCCTCTGCAGTGTGGGGTTTAGGGTTGAGGCTCTTGCAGCGCAAACACAAAGTCATTAGGTTGCTAAACCCAACGCCCCGTAACACCCTGAAGGAGCACTAAGTTAGTCCCAAGCGAGGGCACCCCGAATTCCAGCCTACGAGTTTACGTAACAACAGCCAATGCCCTGAAGACAGAGCCCCTCCCAGTGATTAAAGGATCCTCTGCCCCCTTGTGGGGTTTAGGGTTCAGGGTTCAGGATTTAGGGTTGGCAGTAAACCTCCTTAAAAACTCGGGCCTACCCCCCCCCCCCCCCTCCAGGCTTCACTCATCCTCAGAACTTTTGCGGGTGTGCAAGGATGGCGTCAAGACCCTTGTCGCCTACCTCCTCAGGCGCTTTGGGGTTTCGGGTTGAAGGTCTACGTGGAGGGAGGGGAGGGGAGGGGAGGGGAGGGGAGGGGAGGGGACGAGATGACGAGAAGCAGTTCCTCTTGAGGAGCTTAGGCTCATGTTGGATGGTGAGATGTTGGTAATACCCCCCCAGGACCGACTGCACAGCTGCGCAGGATGTTTGGGTTAACGCATGTCCCCTCTGGTCGACCGAGCTGAAGATGAAACCAGACCCTATATCGCTGTTCAACCCAAGGGCCCTAAGCTGCCGTATAAAGCCTAAACCCTATAGACGCTCTAAGCCCTAGCAGACTTAACGACCTAAGCCTCCTACATCCCCAAAACCCTTGGCACACCCTACAAGGCCCTAAGCCCGAAGCCGCTTTGGAAGTGCGGAGCTGTTTGGCGGCAGGGCCGCTGACCTTAAAACTAAGCCCGAACAGCTCCTGGCACGTGCTCTTCTGCCCACTCCGCTCGCGAGAACCACGCTTGGGAATTCGAGACGTGCGTGCACGGGGAGCTCTATCGCCGACACGCCTGTGGCTCTACGTAGACCACACAGTCTGGACCCTCACCCGGGCGGGCCGAGGAGAAACGCCACCTGCCCCAAGTCTACAATGCCTTTGAACCCTTGCGCTTTAGGGTTTGTTGCTTTCGGGTTTAGGCCGTATAACAAAAAACCCAAGCCGTCCTTCAAAAAGCCCTACAAGCCTGAAGGCCTTAAGCCCTATACTGCATGACCCCAGAAGCCCAAAGCACTTAACGTCACACTTCGAACCCTAAATCCCTAAATCCCTGAATCCCTGAAGCCCTGCGATGCCCCGTCGAAAACCCTAAGCCCCTACGTACCCCAAGCCCGGACAGAGGCTTCAGAAGCCCTGCCAGGAAGAACATCTCCGTCCATCAGCTGAAGCTCTACCGCAACGCCATCGGCGATGCTGGGGGCACGGTTTAGAAGGGGGGGGGCTTTAGGGCTTAGTAGTGGTAACTTGTTTTTCCCTTTCTTTGGGGCTGGGACCCCTCATAGAAGCCAGTGAAACCACACAGGGTCCCATTTTTTGCTCCTAGGTTACTGGGGATCCTAGAGCAGTTTTGTGCTAGCCTTTGTGGGGTTTCAAGGCAATGGGTGTAGGGATTCGAGGTTGCCGGGTTTGGGGTCAATATAAGGTTGAGAGTTGAGCGGATGGATCGCGTCGACGCGGCCGTGCTAGCAATGAGTTGAGATGT